CGTGGGTTAACACGGGGGAATTAACCGCCATCCTGGGTCAGCTCTGGCCCCGGTTTTGGGCCAGCTGAGCACAAAGGGGTGGCACTCAGCAGGGTGAGCGTCACCCGGGCCAGAGCGAGAGCGGCAGAGGTCACCAACGGCCATCCAGGGAGCCCCCAGCCGCCCCCAGCCCACCCCATTACCCTGGCACAGAGGCAGCCCCTCAGCTCGGGCAGGCCTGCCCAAGCACCCACAGCGGGGACATGATGTTGGTCACCATCTTGCGAGTCATGAGGAAGGAAATGCCGGGGCACGGCCAAGACACCATCCAAGTCCTCAGACAGTTGGAGCGTTTCAGCCCGTTCTTCTGGGGAAGCAGCAGGTTGGCAGCCACAGGCACCTCTCACAGTGGCTCTTCCCAGGCCAGGCCCGAGGAAGAGGGTCCAAGGAGACCCTCAGGGTGGCTGTCGCAGGGTGTAGCCAGCCTGACCGTGACAAGCATTGCCCAGGCAGGCATAGTAACGGATTTTGTGAGTGCATCTGGCATTCTGGCTGCTGTACAGTGCCAGTGGGACACCTTCCCCAGGTGCTGCCATGCTACAAAGACATTTGCAAGCAGATCTGGGTCTATGCAAGTCTGAAGAATATCCCGTAAAATAGCTAGCCCTTTGCCCGTTGGCTTGGATTGCATCCTCCGGTGACTCCTTGTGCTGGATACAGCTACCCCTGCGAGCTGCTGTAGCGGGGCAGGAGGCTGATCTGCCTCCCTTCTGCTGCGGGCACCAGATCAAAGAGAGCGGAGGCTACAGTCACTCCTCTTGGTCACCCGGCATCGGTCAGCGACTGCCTCCTTTGAAAGCCTGAACTGGCTGATTTGAGGCGGCAGGTAAAGGGCGGTGGAGCACGGGCACATCTACGTCGGCCCTGGACGTGGCTGCACCCTGCACCCCTGCTAAGCAGCGCACTGAGGGGGTGAGCGAGCTGCAAGCAGCATGGGGGCTTTGGAAGAGGGAGAAGAGGAGATTTCAAAGAGCTGGAATTCCTCCCAAACCAGGGCCTCTTGAAGCAGCACGACAGATGCCTGGATGGCTCTTCCCAAATTCTGCAGGGCCCTCTGCATGTTCAGAGAGTGGAAATCCACGAGGTCCGTACATCAGGCTTATTCACTCACATCTTTTGGATGCAGTTAGTCCCACCTGTCTTTATCCTCCAGAGGCAGCAGTTGGCCTTCAGTTTTTACTGGCCAATTTTCATCTGATTCCAGATGCTCGGGTAGCTTGTAATTTTACCCAAATGTTGCACTCGCACTATCAGCTGTGTTTGAGGCATACAGCAACGATCTGAGTACGTTCTGTGGCCTTTCTCTTCCCCAAGAAACAAAGCACATATGCTTTAGGATAGCAAAAGCAAACCCAGGTATGTTGGCAAAGATAAGTAGAAGAAAATGACCTCAATCCAACGCACACAGGCAGCCCTACAGTGAAATCACCTAAAATAGGCCCAGAGACTTGTATCCAAATGCTCTGTGAAGCTCCAGGAGTTACCGCTTTCAATTGGTATTTCATGCACATATCTCTGCAGGTATGAAGAATATCTTGAAAAACATGAGAATGAAAGCGTGGCTCTCTCCGTGAGCCCAGGCACAGCCTGAAACAATAGATCACAGGCACAAACTATCCCATTTAGCTCAGACAGTTGAAAACCTAATGATGACAAACTAATGTTAACTCTGATAGGGCTGGCTGGTTTGGAACAGTGTCTTTCAGTCTGAGGGAGTCCACAGCTTCTAAGGAGCCTCTGCAACAACCTCCACCTGGGAAAAAAGCATCCTCCCCTCCACCCCCTCCTCAGCACAGCACCCTGCAAACGTGGAGACAGCGTGAAACAAATTGAGGTTGAAATTAAAACAAATAACAGGAGCACTTCTGCATGGATTGTATTATTCTGTGTCATATTTCATTCCAGGAAAAAAACAACAAAAGAAGGGGAGGGGGGAACCTCTTAAAAATTAATCCACCACAGAATTTCCAGCCTGCTGCACAGGACACTGTATACACAGGGGGTCTGGCCACAATTTATTTCTGGAGTACTGTGGGGAACACAAGAGACAGTAACTATAACCGGTCCAGCGGCAGCAAACTGACACTTGCAGTCCTCTTCTTGCTTCTATCCCCGACAGCAGCGTGTGCGACCCATTTGTGCTTGGTTGCCCTACAATGGCAGGACCTCTTAAGTAACCCCAGCGATGGAGTAACAAATTCAGCATGGGCCATCGAGCCTCCCGACACTCAATTCCTTGTGAGTAACCTCGCCACAAACCAAAAACAAAGCAGTGTGCCAAGCTTCGGACCCTCATGAACCAGACAGTGCTACCCTGCATGCACAGGCAACCTCCTCAAAATCCTCAGTATACAGAGCCCAGCAAAAGCAAATGCTCTGCGAGGACAAAACACAGCACATGTAAACAAGGCAGCAAAACACACTCCGAACAGGAAACGATTTCTCGTGCTGAGCTTCCCAAGGCCTCGAAAAAATGACGGTGTAACTTCAAATGCAAGCAATAGTAAATCATCAAAGCCACGCTGATTTACCCCCATGGACAGAACTTGTCCCTGGAATAAACTAAGAGATCATATTTGCTACCCTAATGGCAAGCATTCCCGCACAGAAAAATTATTTCATCCTGAAAAAACAGGTTACAGCCATTATACACATCATCTCCAAAGCCCCATTAATTCATTTCTTGTTGACGATCAAGGTGTGATGTGGGATCATGCAAGCAAGCACAGTTCAGTTCTGTTTCTAATTCATTCCTGAAGGGCTTCAAACATGTAAAAATGCAACTGAATACCAACAAAGAGCAGCTGTGCTATTTAAACTAGGGACTAAAGCCACGATGTGACTCTGAAAAAAACTGAACGCTTTCCCAGTAAAAGCAAAGAAGGGAGGGTAGATAAAGCAGCCTCACCTGTGGAAAAGGCTGCTTTGGGGGTTTGGGTGGATTCATTACCTTTTTGTCGCTCAAGCCAGACACCTGGTCCACGTATTCCTCTTGGATCATGAAGGCCGCCAGGTTGGCAGTGTAGCTGGCCAGAAAGATGACAGCGAAGAAGGCCCACACCGACACCATGATCTTGCTAGTGGTACCCTTGGGATTCTGCACTGGCACAGAGTTGTTGAACACCAGCCCCCACAGCAACCAGATAGCTTTGCCAATGGTGAAAGAGGGACCTCCTGGCTCTAGAGTGAGTGAGAGACATGATCCCACAGTGAGCATCTCAGAGTTAAGTGGTTTGCATTTCTATTCACATATGCGTCTTGACTTCAGTTAGGAGTAGTATCTGTTCCCACAGGTGAGACAAATGCCCGCAGCTGTGCTCCCCTGTGTTCATGACACCATATCTCAGCAAAGTATGACCCTGAAAAATCTCTTTTTTCAAGCATCCTCAGGCTTCCATATTTATTCTGTCTCAGAGATTTTCTCTGAAACCTTATACAAGGGCTTGTTTTGTATCTGACTGGAGTAACTAAAAGCCCCAACGTTCCATTTTGGTTCAAGTGTTGTCACTAGAAATAGAGTTTGGTCAGAAAAATTCCATCCTCATTTCTAGCTATTCAACGATGATGCTGACCTTGAACTCCCAGCATACACCTGTGCAAAACATGGCCTTTGCCGTGCCTGTACAGGTGCAAGGAAGAGCATCATGTCAAATAACAGGGCTCTACAAATTCCTCCGCAAGAGGGTTTCATTACCCAGTCTGCTGAAGACACACAAGCCAGAGAAGAACATAGCTCCTTCTCCCCATGTTCTGTGGCTGAGGTACCTAACAGTGACTCATACTCTGGTCTGTCTCAGGAAAATGAGAAGCTCTGCCCCAGGCAGTCCAGAAGCAGATCTGGTGTGTTAAAAGCTGCTATTTTCCCCTTTTTCACTTCTCAGCGTGGAAGTTCACTCACACCCCAAAAGCTGTGTGTCCTCACGAAGCACTAGGCTGGAATACTGGTGAAATCCTGCCTGTCTCCCAGCAGCCTCATATCCCCGGCATAAGCTGGCCCCATCAGTGGGAACCCGAAACAAACTCTGCTCAAGTTGAGCACCAGAGGAGCTGTCAGGGAGCCTGCAGACACAATTACGCCAAGGATCTTGCTTCAGACACCGAGAAGACCCTCTTAGGACGAGAGTCCTCTGGCACAGTTCAAGGGTCTGTCACTCTTCCAACGGTGCCAGCCTGGCTCTGCAAGCTTTTGGGTTCGCATCCCATGTTTTATCTCCTCCCTTGGGCAGGCTGACTGGTGCCTCGTGCTCCTGCCCGTGGTTACAGTTGACTCCCACAGAGGAACAAAAGGGAAGAAAGTTTTGATGCTCCTCTCCAAACCCGAGCAGTGAATAGCATCGATCAGCTGAAAGCACTAACTCTGCTACTCTAAATACAACCAAAAGGTGCAAGGGGATCATTTTCCACCCTGGGAATTGCACATCAAGTTCAAAGCAGAATCATCACCTGGCAAAACTGGAGCCTCTAGATGCCAGGGAGACAAAGCTGCTACATAAAACATAGTTTGGCAGTCCTTCTCTTTTTACATTCTGGGCTGGTAGCTGTTTTCCTCCCTACCCAATGTGCCCCAAGCCCCACAGGTGGAAAACCTGCAAATCATCAGTGGAAGCCATGAGGTGTAAGGAAACCTCCCAAAGCCCTCCTCTCTCCACTGTTCACCCGTGTGCTTTCACAGTTACTTTGTCAGCCACAAGGCAAGGCAGCAATGGGAGCCTCCGATCCAAACCAGGGACTCGGAATCTCTCTGAGCACTCCAGCTTTGAGCGCCCCAACAACAACCCAACATCTGGTAGGGGCCAGATCAGGGCATGCCCCCCTGACCCTGGAGAGAGAATCTTGGTGTCCATAAAGAGAAAATGCAGGTGTGGGATGCAGGGGTGTACTGTCGTACACTAGTTCAGATGCAGCCCAAGTAACATTAGCCAGAGCGTTCATTACCAAACAAGGATTGCAGGCTCTGCTGCAGATTTCTGCATCTTCACATGACATCTCTCAGGGATAATATCTGCCTGCTCATGTGTCGTGGTTTAACCTGGTGGTAGCTAAACACCACACAGCCGCTCACTCACTCCTCCCCCCTGCCCCAGTGGGATGGAGAGAGAATTGGGGAAATAAGTAAAATTCGTGAGTTGAGGTAAAGACAGTTTAATAGGACAGAAAAGGAAGGGGAAAAAAATAATAATAAAAAAACAGAACTAGAATATACAAGACAAGTGATGCACAATGCAATTGCTCACCACCCACTGACTGATGCCCAGCCAGTTCCCAAGCAGCAACCCCTGGCCAGCTTTGCCCCTAGTTTATATACTGAGCATGGCGTCATATGGTATGGGATATCCCTTGGGTCATCAGGGTCAGCTGTCCGGGCTGTGTCCCCTCCCAACTCCTTGTGCACCCCCTGCCTCCTCGCTGCTGGCGTAGGGGGAGAGGCAGAAAAGGCCTTGGCTCTGGGTAAGCCCTGCTCAGCAACTTCAATGTGTTATCAACGTTGTTCTCATCCTGAATCCAAACAACGCTACACCAGCTACTAGGAGAAGAAAATGAACTCTAAGCCAAAACCAGGACATCATGCAGTACTGTTCATAACTACTTAGAAATACTGATACTCGCAGCTGCAGTTCAGCTAACTTAATAACTGCACACCTGTACGAAGAACTGCTTCCAGTTCCACATCTGTATTCATATCTCTCAAGAGACTTGCAGGTTTAACAGTATTTCCTTGTGTCCACAGACCCACGTGGTTATGATCAGTTGCCATAAAGGCCCGCCACAGCTCCACGTTAAGAGGGAAGTCCTCCACTTCCCCATACATGTGGTTCTGCCTGCATTCTCATGAACACTTTTTTTTTCCCCTCCTCTCTAATTTGATGACATAAATGCACTAGATTGGGGATCAAATGAGTGCATTTTCCAAGAACTGTCTCTCTCCCACTATTCTGAACGGACCAATAAACCCAGAAATGTTTGAAGGGCTGATTCATCAGGGAGTGAAGATATGGAGGTGACAGAAGGCTCAACGTGCTAATTGTCTTCATGCCAATAAGGCAAAAAAGGCTGTCTCTTAGGCTGGCTGTCCATCCTCTCTTTAACTCATCGGGCTGTCTTCTGAAGATCAGAACCACAGAGATGGGTCACTCACTCGTTCCCATCTTTCCCGCTGCCCTTGAAAAATAACCCATCACCCACTCCCAGGAAAATGAGCTTCCCCCTTTCTCAGTCGACCTTCGCAAGCCAGAGAGCCAAGTCGGGGAGGGCCATGCCCAGGTGACAGATGCGGAGTTGGTAGGACACAGCACTATGCTGGGAGGCCGGCAGAGCGGCTTGCTCTCCGGGGAGACATAGCACTGGAGGATGGATTGACAGCGCTGAGCCCTCTGATTGACTGCTTCAGAGAGCGCAGCACCACAGGCACTGCCAGCACCGGCTACCAGGACCCATTTTCCCTCAATGAGAAATGAGTTGGAGCTGGTGAATGCTTTAGAGATGAAAGGCGACACAGCTCCATCTCCCAAGCCAAGCAAATTATCCATTATACACATCTGCTCTCTTCAGAGCCTTTTTCCCGCCTCCATCCCTGCCCTCTTTAGTCTGAACACAGAGCTCAGAGCAGGCTAGATCCACATCCTGTTCAAGGCAAAGGAAACATCCCGACAAAGGAGCCAGGATTGGAAGCGAGAGACGATCACGGCAAGGAGGGACAGCCCTTACCTCTGCCATCGGCAAGGCACCGATTATAGCCCACAGGGCTGAAGTACTCAAAGACGAAGACGGCCACCGCAGAGATGATAAGCAGCATCACAAACATCATCACCCATACGTCAGCACTGAAAGGCTCTGGAGAGGAAGAGAAAATCATGGTGAAAGACCTGTTACACCACCTCACCACCTTTGCTCTCCAGAGCATCCCAGTGGGAGCATGGGGCAAACTGGGCTGGAGAAAAACAGAAGTTACAGCAAAGCCTTCGACCCGAGTCTGAAAACCCTTTTGAACTGGGAGAAGTGTAGTTTCTGTTTCTGTAATGACTGCGTTCCTTCCTACTGTTACATTTGTGACACATGGCTCCATCTGGAACTGCATGTAGCCATTGTGGCATGCATTGATAAAATAAAATGCATTGATAAAAGATGGTTCCCAGGAAGTCCTCCAGCACCATCTGGAGAGAGTGGGGAAAATCAGGCAGAACTGGCAGAGTTTCAGACAAGCATCCAACTTTCAAGACACTATCGAGCCAAAGAGCATCTCCAAATTTCTGAGATTCAGCCATAATGACAGTAGTTTTTTCAGCTATTCCATTCCTGTAGCAATGGGAACATCGGCTTATTCTAGAAATGTTAGCGTTCATATTCTGCAAGTGTTTGATCTCTGCCAGGTTTTCTTCTCCAAGACTGAACAGATAAAGATGGGACTGAACCAGACCAAAGAATCTTAGAACTTTGCTCCAGACTATAGCTAATATTGCAACCTCAGTTAAATTGCAATTTAAAATTTTGGAGTTAACTTTATCATTGCTCTTGCGATACCCCAGTAATATTGGTGGACCTGGCTAACGGCAAACACTCCTGAAGAATAAGTAGTCACGAAACCCTTACTTAAAGAGGTTTGGAAAAATTTCTTTACCCATATAGTTATTTCTGTTTGTAAATGTTCTCAGGATGCTGGCAGAGAGCAGACAGTAATCATGTAACTCATATACTGTGTTTGCCGCATCATAAAGCATTTTACAAAGCCAAGCAGTAGACACTAGGAAGACATGGATGTCTTGCGGAAATGCAGTATCATTTCTGCATGCTCTGATCACCCTCCATCACCGAAGGACATTAGAAATCACTTTACTGGAAGACACAGAACTGATGGCTCAACGCTTCTTGAAAAGCTCTATTAGATCTTCAATTTCTACCAGTTGCTTTGTCGAGGGAGGGTCAAGTTACTATGTTCTTTACAAATAACATCTTTCAAAGTGCAACAATTTATTGCTAACTCTTATCACTAAATACGATGGCATATCAGTTATAAGGCTTGAATCAATTTTCTTCTGGCCTACACTCCTTGAACACGCCATTAGTTGAGTCACTGGGAAGCCACGTGCTGCAGAGTAGGTGACCGCTCCAAGCGAGCCCTTTTTTTGCTGGGATTAGGCACACAATTGCTGAGAAATGCCCTGGAACTCCTAGGCAGGGCCTGTTCACATTTGCCTGGATTTTGCTTGGTTGGGATTCAGAACTAAGACATCACAGTTTATTTTTATATACCTGTCCCACAGGTACTCCCAAAAAGGAACTTTCAGGCTCAGAATCACAAGCAACCTTCACCTAATTTTTCATGAATGCTGGGTAAAGTTTTAATTTTAGATTAAAATGATACCTAAGAAGGCAGAAGGTGAGACAGTTCCATTGCTACGTGACACCATGACGCTGATTCCCGTCTCAATGAAGGGCACAGAGAAATCCACCACTTCTGAACGCTCCTCGTTAATGGTGAGGGATCCCACAGCCATATAGGCCCGTTTGGTGACGACCTGGAGGAAGGAAAGGGAGAGATGACACACCGACCGGAGGGACCTTGCAAGCTTCACAGCCAAGCCCCTTCTCACCTTCCTGCCTTTCCACACAGTCCTTTTCCTCCTGTAATCCCATTCCCTATATTGTTTCTATCTTCTCTCCTTTCTAATCTTTCATCAGGACACCTTCTTCTTTCAGGAAATCTATAGACACTAATCTTCCCCTCAAAGCTGGTATGTGTATGAAAAATAAATCTGCAGAGGTCTTAGGATAAACACATCATCCACTGAGAAGACGTCTTATCTCATTTTTCTGTCCTTGCTTTCTCCTCCCTCTAACACTGCAAAGTCTTATTTCATTCTTTATGCACCTTATATACGATCTAAGCATAATCTAGGTTGCAGCCTCTCTGGAGCATGGATATCACCCTCTTTCTTTGACTGTGAAGGCCAAATTTGTGACACTACAGAGAATAATAATTAACCGTTGAACAGGAAAGGTAGTTACGGTCAGAGTGTCAGAGCAGATTAATTCACCCGGTGCCCAGAAAGAATCCAGGCCAATCGTTTCTATAGAGTCACCTCTGTCCCCACCCTGGAAGGGGACTCAATAATGACAGGAGACCAGACCTGACCCGTGTCACCCAGCCCAGGGACGAAGCCCACCATGCCCTCCCTTTGCTGCTGACCTCTCCAATCATTCCATTCCACGTCCCATTGATCTTTTTCCCATGCTTGCCATTCGTCACCAAGTAGAGGTCATAGGTGAACTTGACAGACTTTGAGATTTTCTTGAGGATGTCAATGCAGAACCCCTTGCAACATTTCTTCATGTAATCTGGCTCCTCATCGGTTTTGTTCCTGAACCGTCACAACAAGAATGGGTTAAAAGACTGGGGGAAAACTCCCTTAATTCCCTCCTGCTGTCAGTTCGCACTCCCCCTCCCACAATATAACATGGAGAATTTCACTTGTGCTCTCTGTGCTGGAGGGTCAAGGGACATACTACGATGAAAGGGGCCAGTCATGAATGGACACAGGCCAGGCTGGGCAAACGGAGGTGACTTTTCTAAAAAGGATTATCATGGTATGGTGATATTGGCCCAATAGACTCTCTACATTCTGCTGAGAAGGGAGAGCCCGATAGAAGGAGAAAAATCCAGGGGTGCATACTCGGTCACTATGCGTTTTTGGCAAGGGACTGTGTTCCTCATGCAGGTGCCACTTAGGGGGTCCACATTCTCCACAATGACGAACGGTGCCTCTTCCAAGGTCACGATACTCAGGTGATCGTCCTCGCGTTCCTCAGAGTCGGGATACAGCTCAAAGCGGGGCCATACGTAATACTTCATCTGCAACTTTTTTTCTTTCCATTTCCCCACCTGTGGAGACACAAACCACACAAGATATGACTTCTAGCTGTCCCATCCCTCTGCATCAACCACAGGCCTGGGCAGGAGGACCACTCTGGACTACCCAAGCTTGGGGTAAGCTCCTGTAAGACAAGGGCATTTCTGGGGAGAAGGTTCCGAGTAAGTGGGTTCAAACCAGAGGGAATGTTTTTCAACTTTCTCAGCCAAACAACAGGAACACAGCTTGTTGTCTCCCAAAATGTTGACTCCAGCCTACTAGCTACAATAAAAATGCAGGTTTTTTCCTTCTAAAAAAAGGAGGAGAAATATATACAAATGTTGAAACTAATGTCATTTTGAAACAGAAACTGAAACACTTCACTTGAAAAAGTCAAAACAGAACTTCTTTATTTTTTCAGAATTTTGTCATTGTTTTTTTCAGTCAATTCATCAAACAGATTCATTTTAGCCAAACTTGGTTTTGTCCAGAAATAACTCCTTCTTTAGGAAAAAAGTTGCCCATTCCCAGTCAGGACTGAGTTCTTCCAAGAGACAGGCAACTGAAGGGCTAACCGTAGTTCTTGCCATCCCTTGCTAAGGCCTTACTGAAATTCCTGCACTTGTCCTTTCACAACAACTTGGCTGCGTACCTTAGCTGGAAATAAGGAATTGCTCTGCGTTTCTGACACATGGCAAATAAAATCAAAGAACAGCTCTTATTTTTTAATCTTGCTATTCTTCCATAAGGACTTATTGCAATTTTAGATCTTTTCATTTTACATTTCTTAAGCAAATAGAGATCATATCTTCGGCGGTCGACTTGGTTGCCTTATACCTACTGCCACAAGCAGAAGTTGTTTTGAAGCCACGCCAGTCCCTGCACAAGCGATACATGTAGCACACCCACTACTGCCCATGGTAGACCGTTCCTTGCAAAAATTCCAGGTAAAGGAAAAACCTGAACATCGACTATGCTTTCAGCTATCAAAGTGTTGCCTTTGTTCTCAATTCCTGGCATCACAGTTGACACTAATTAGCACCCTGGCTGGCAGCTGAAGCTGAGAGGGCAAGAAACTAAGTGGGCTTTAGAAGGAACTTTCCTGCAGGATCCTCAAAGCAAGCCCTCCAGGCCAGGGCTCAGACACGATGACTTGATGGCAGAGGCAATGGGGGGGTGTGGGAAGCTTGCATGAAAGCCCTTAGCCGTGTACCTGCTTGGTGGGTAAACAGAAAAGCTTCACTCCACCGCAATCCAACGCCCCTCCCACCACCCACAAACTTCAGTCATTTATTTATTTAAATGACAGGACAGAAGGGAGAAGCACTTATTAGAGGCTCATTAGGTGTCAGCGGTTATTCTGTGAAACTCAAAGCCCAGCTGGGGTTTGGCATTTGAGAGCAGCTAGAATTCACATAAAACACTTGTCACCTTCAAAACAAACAAACAAATGTTTCATCTGGCCATGAAAGAAAAACCCACTCTGGGGGCTTGTGGAGGGAGAAGAAAGGCAGAAGAAATCACCCAGGGACAGCAGCGCCCCCCCTCCATCCCTGCGGCATGAACACCGCAGCCCAGCGAGGGTAAGGCATCGGCTTTGTACGAAGGGGGTGAAGCGGCCGGGCAGCCCCGGGGTACCTTCCCAAGGACCCTCACGACAAGCGGGTGGCAAAAAATGCCAAGGAGAGCTTGCCCCTAATGTTCCCTCCCCCCATGGAGTCGCGCTGCTTGGACCAGCAAGCAGGTACACAGCTATTTTTCTTCTTTTTCTCTCTCTTTTTTTTGGGTTACTTGAGTGGTCAGGCAGGACTTGTTTTCATTTTTAAACAGACTTGGAGCAGGAGGTGAAAGCTGGCAGACTGGGAGCCCTGGGAAGTGGTGGTCCCCTTCGCCCACCCCAGACAGGCCGCGGTGTCTGGGGCAGCCGATGGTCTGCGCTCACGCTAACTCCTACGCCTGGCTGTGGAGAGTGCATTCCCAAGGGAATAAAGGGCATATACTCACACGCTTACCCAGGGTCTGCTCAGCTCGGGACTTCCCACTCCTTGACCAAGCAGGTCAATTTATCATCATCTGAGCCAGAGATCACCGCCGTGCAACTTTAGCCCTTGAGTAACTGAGCTCAAATCCCCAACGCCAGCGCAGCGGAGTCACCAGACGAGCAGAATACCTGCGCACATGGGGCTCAGTAGGGACCAGTGGTTACGATGCTGCACACAACAGCCCAGACTTCAGCTCAGTAACATTAAATTATCACAGAAATAAGTGGTTGATGACAGAGACATCTTGCAGAATCTCAGCAGCACTTAGATATCACAGTAATAGGCATGATAGAAACCCCTAAGTGATAAATTAGATCAGATAGGCAAACCCAACTCGTAATTACCCAGAAGTTCTCTGGGACAGAAAGGGGAGTTCATAAGGCTGTGTGCCAGGCACGTTTCACAGTGTTGTACTACACAGACAACATTATGAAATTAGGATAACAATGACAGTCTTGTCACAGCCTCCTGCGTGCTGAAGCACCTAACCTGCAAATACAGTAGTACACATCCCTTCCTTAATATCCCAGGAAAATCATTCTAAATTGTCCAAAAAGGAAGAAAAAACAGGAGGTAAGGGAATGTTCTGACCTAAATTTTCATATTAACTGTGGAGCATCTCCAGAATACGTGCAAATACTAGGTTTCATTCCTCACCTGAACAATCAGGCATGCCACATACCTGCAGACATGTACAGATAGGAATGAGCAAAGTCAGAAAAGCTTTGTGAACTAAGAAGGGGCAGACTTCTTTACATGCTCATGCACGTATACAGATGTAGTTAAAGAACAGCGGGCTTAAGCAATATGTGGGCAAGGACAGTAAGGATAATAAGAAACACCACATGTGCAGAGGATGGAGACAATGCAAGAGAAAGAAAATACAAATGTGTGCCTTACGCTAGGTAATCTGCCTTGAGAGGGAAGGAGCAATTCACTGTGGGGACAGAGGTTAGCCACAACAGAATTAAATGTCACAGATTCGTCCAGGTAATGATGCCTACTCTCAAAGAATATAACCTGCCAAGCTGTGCAGAGGAGAGCAAGGCACTTCTGAAGTCTCAGGGTATTTGGTATTAACAGCTTGTGAACTGTTATTACTTAGGTTTTGCTCAGCGCTTGCTTCAGCAAAAAGAGGAAAAATAAACCATCCCAGGCATCCTACATATTTGTCACCCTGCAGTTTCAAGACCCACTGGGCGTTCTCTGATCAGACTCCAGTCATCCAAACTCCCACCAGGAGCCCTGAAGGGTCATGGAATCAGCAAAAGGAAGGATGTTGGGCATCTTTAAAACCCCCTTTCTAATCATATTCTCCAATCCCTAGGTATGTTCCTGTATGCCAGGGCAGGGCTCCTAAGAATTTCACCTTAACTTCCCCTTGCTCTGTCTGTACCACACCTGACCTTACCAAGAAAGGAAAGTCACTTTGGTTTGGGGATGAATCTGGAGGTGCTGAGGGAGGGGAGCAGCTAACTGTTACCTTAAATATAAGATTCTACTTTGGATAACAAGCTGTTAGAAGTAGAAGTCCAATACATTTGCAAAGAAAGAAAACGAGAGCTATTGTAGAACAAAAAAGTCAATCATCTATGCCATTGCTTTGCCTAAGTATATAAGCTATCCCCTGCAGACAAAAGGTAAGATTGCCTATGCAAGGGGAAAAAGTGAGAGCCTTCCGAAAGCCTTCCAGCAAGCTGGCAAATTGCCTTAATCGCGGTATAATGCGGCCAGAACAAAAGTGTTCTGCAGTATGTTAATGCGCATCTTTAATGAAAGGTGTATCATATCAGTTCCCTGAAACTAATTCTTAACAGAGGCTTTTCTCTCCTCCCAAGGGAAGATAAGGCCTCTACCAGCCGCTTGTGGCAGATGTTTGTCCAACCTGTCCTTACACTGACAGAGAGCCCACGGTCTCCGAGGGCAGTTTATTCCAGTGCTTAACTATCCTTCCCATTAAAAAGGGTTTTTTCCTGATGCCTAACCTAAATCTTCTTGCTGCAATTTATATCAGGAGAGTGTATCTCCTTATTCTTCTACATGTGCTCTCCTCAGTGCTATCAGGTCAGTAAGATATTTATAACACAGAGGAGTTGGTAGTCTCATTCAGTGGAGATCTTAAATGCTACCCTGGCAAAAGCAACCACCTGTCCAAATGACCAGCACCCAGCCTCACCATTTACAAAACCCGTACCCAGATGGGTGGTACGGCCAAGTACAAGCTACTCCCACGAACTTCCAAAATCGTCCGTTCCAGCCAGGGCAGAAGCCAATTTCTGAGCTCCTCCTCATATGCCAAGGCAGGACTTCAAAACACAAGAGCATCTGGAGAAACCTCCAACTAACGTCAACAGATGGAAAAAAAAAAAACCCTCCTAGAAATTTGGCTTTCAAGGACTAGCAGCAGAATACAACTCTGGACGAAACCAGAAATGTTCAGATACGTTTCTTAAGCAAGATGTTCAGAAGTACTGCATTCGTATTTGGAGTGAGGGTTCAGGGGAAAGTCTGAACCTTCAGGTGCTTGTTTTTCCACTGGCTGCAGGAGAGCTATGTCTGGGCAAAGTCTGTTGATAGTTTTTATTTCGTTCAGGCTCCTATTTGCACGGTGCCGTGTACCATTCTCTTTCCATTTGAAATCTTCTCTCAATTCCTGCCACCCCTGGTATAGAAAAAATACAAAAGGAACAAAAGGGATTTGGTTTCATTTACAGAATAAAAGAAAGACCATTTCAAACTCACTTAAGACTTGAACCGCTTTCCGCCTTACCCCAAGATTTCAATGTTTCCTCCCTTATTACACCTTTTTTTTTTCCCAGGAACTGAGAGGCTTGTTCATTCCAGTGGGGAAGCACTAAGGCAACAACACAGAGCATGGATCAGAAGGCAGAAATTCCCTGTTCCACCAAGGACCTCTGGAATCTGATCTGCACCCTTGTGCCTCCACTCCACCTTGTGTAAACCGGAGACAACTCACCTCTGGGGTGCAC